TGCATATGTTGGCGTGTTTATTAAGTTTACTATAGAACTTGGTAAGATGTCTTGTTTTTGGATTTTAGATAAACCATAAAAACGTTGAATAGTGCATGACTTGGGATACAAATTAACCCATTAAGAGACACTGATGACTGGTTCTAATTTTTTCTAGAAAATTGGTTTGTCCCTGATATCATTTTATCTCTAACTGTTTAAAGAGTTTTTGAACCAATCTTTTCATATGGTCCTGTAGAAAGATATTCAAAAGCTTTAGTATCATAGTCTTTTTCATTCATAACTATAACTGGAGTAATTCAAAAAGTACTAAATGGTTTATAAGCAAAGATGGATAGTTCACTTGTATGTTTCTATTATTATTTAGGACTACAAATGATCAGTTTCATATTGGTATTTGTGCAAATATGTAGTATGATACTCGTTGGATATTCATCAAATATTTACTAAGAACAGTTCTTAATACTAAAAAAACTGCGACCAGACAGATTAAAGCTGTTACTGTTATTGTTCCAGAACGACTTGATTAATGTTGGCCCAATCGCTATAGTGATTGTGATCGAACCTGTACACTGTTGTTCCATATAGCAACTCGAACTGATGTACGTACGCACGTACGAATTTCTAGGTTGTTACTGGCTGATTGTTGTTCCATTGGCACATAGCAGATTTAAATTCACGAGGTCACGCGCCAGCACTCCTACACATGCCAAGCTCTTGGTTTACACACGATACTATTCTCAATCAGATATGATCAACATAGTGCCTGTAACATATGTGGATCGGATCAAATTACCATATACCACATCAAAAGAGTTTGTGGCGGCTTAGTTTCGTTAATCAATCACCCCGATAACCGTTATTGCAGAAATCTCAACGGTTCGAAATCAGAAGGCATTAGCAAGCAGCAACTATGGTTTATTTGAGGATAGCACACGTAACAATGCTACAAACATACCGAGGGAATTTGAAGCAGAGAGGCGAATTCATAGTCACCTTTTATTTATTTGCGTCTATTTGATAGTCGTAATTGAAATGAATACAATTATTTACATCATGTTCCCTACTTCCTGTAGCGGTTATGCGTGATGATAAAGAGTATTTGAATTGTAGTACAAACTAGGAATCCCAGATATAACGCAATTTAAACAGGAAGAACTTTATGGGCGTAGATGGTTGTAGTGTATTTGGAATTCGAAATCAAGCAGTCATCAAGTACAAATGAATCATTGGTTCATACAAATACCACATCCGTCACAGCTCAAATTGGAATCTAAATTTCTGTAATCGATTGTACGTCTTTCTATCTCTATCCGACAGTGTATTGGATATCAATTGTGTATAATCTAGAATGTACTCATTTGTATTAGAATTAACGAAGGAAATTGGAACAACGTCACTTGATTCCTGGAATTGTATTTGACCAACAGGTCGGTTGTGTATATTTATCTTGTAATGATTGCCGATAAATGTAGGCGTGTTGACTTTTCTTGACACTGCTGTGCTGAACCGTATAGTCATAGACACTCAAAGCAATACTCCTCCGTCGAACCGTATCAGCTGAGGAACGTGCTAAGGAATTTTCAGGATGATAAATGAACAGTAACAATAGTGAATCTCTTTCCAAATAAATATTTATGATGTCTTTTGAAGGTTCAAAAAGTAACTAATGCTTCTTGTTGAGTTTGTGAATAACCTTGTTCGTTGGTGTCACCGTCTTCGAGGAGTCTGTACTTGCTGATTGGATATCGCTATCGACAAAAGCTGGCCTCAATCGATTGATGCTAATTACATCTGTCTTCCGAGCTTTTTCAATGGTAACAGTTTTATCTGTCCTAGCTATCACTTTAAATGGGCCGTCGTAACTCGGTTTTAGAGGTGGTTGTACTTTGTCACTTCTAATGAGTACGTGAGTGCTGTTATGCAGTTCCTGTGGTATGAATACTCATCGTTGTTGTGGTCTGGGAGGTGTTATTTTTTAATCGTTCATGTGCTTTTTCAGGCGTTGTACATAGTTGGTTACATCAGTCGGAACACATTTACTTGAAGTGAAAATTTCTCCGGGTAACCATAGAGTAGTTCCGTATACCAACTCAGCTGGGTGACATCCCGTGTCCTGTTTAATTGTTGCTCTTAGATCTAACATTAATAGCGGAAGCTCATTGGCCCAATCGTTATTAACAATGACGGATGTAAGGGACGCTTTTAATTGCCTATGTAGGCGTTCGACCATTCCGTTTGCCATTGGATGGTAAAATGACGTTCGATTTCGTTCAATACTGAGGAGTTCTGTAAGCTGTTGAAAGAGTCGACTTTCCAATTGAGCTCATCTTTCAGTTGTGGTACACCGTAGTAAGAAATCCAATTTTTAACTAGGGTTTTGGCCACCAATTTGGCTGAGGTATCCTTTATCCGTAATGCTACCGGCCATCGTGTAAACCTGTCGATGCGTGTAAAGATATGATTGTATCCATTCGAAACAGGCAGTGGTCCTACAATATCAATGTGTATATGTTCAAATCTAGTGTCTCGGTGTAAAAATGGACCCACTGCGGAGCTAGTATGCCTATGTGCTTTGACTTTTTGACACTTCATGCATGCTTGTGTCCAATTACGCACATCGTGGTTCACGTTTGTCCATACGAATCGTTCACTGATTAGCTTTATCGTGGCTTTTATTCCTGGATGCGACATGTTGTGCGCACTCTCAAATATTTTGTGTCACAATGATTTCGTGATACATAGTCGCGGTCGGCCTGTCGATGTATCACATGTTACTTTCGCGTTACCGAACCGCACCTCTTCGAACACTAATGATGTCGTATCATCGGACCTAAGCTTATTTAATTCAATGTCTCTCTCTTGCAAATTTGCCAGAACGTTATAATCGATTTCAGTTGCAATAAGCGTGTTCATCGTTGATCTTGACAGTGCGTAAGCCAAGTCGTTTTCTTGTCCTTTAATGTATAGCATATCGGAGGTGAACTGTGAAATGAACTCCAACTAGCGGATCTCACTCAGAGAATCATTGTATTGCTTTGCGCTTAATGCTTTCGTATGTGGTTTGTGGTCTGTGTAAACAGTAAAATTTATGCCTTTCGCCATATGAAAAAAAATGTTTTATTGCTAAGTAAATTGCTAGCAGTTCTCTTCCGAAAGTATTATATCTAGTTTGTGTAGGATTCAGTTTTTTCGAAAAAAATGAGAGCGGTTCCCATGTACTCTTTACTAATTGTTGTAAAACGGCTCCTGCCGCCACATCCGATGCATCCGTCATGATAGCTAATGGTGTTTCGCTCTTTCGTCTAGTTGGTGTCGTTTCTTTGTTTAGTGCATTCTTGGCGCGCTCGAATGCTTGTATCGCCTCTGGTGATGAATAGAATGTCTGGGCGTGTCCCCGTAACGTATCCGTCAATGGTTGCGATATTGCCGCACAATTCAGAATAAATCGTCTGTAATAATTTACTAACCCGAGAAATCGTCATAATTTCTTCCATGTGTCGAGTAGTGGATATTTTCTGATGGCGCCGACTTCTGTTGCTATTGGTGCAATGACTTGAGAAGTTACAATGTGACCTAGGAACTGTAAGGTTTCCTTTCCAAATTCACACTTCCAAATGTTTATGGAAATGCTGTGTTCTCGCAGTCGCATGAATAATTGTCGTAACTGTTGTATATGCTCATCCTTAGTGGCGATGGCTACTGGTAAATCATCGATATATGCGTATACTCCAGGTAAACCACTGATGACCTGGTCGATAAACCATTAAAAGGTTTGCGCTGCGTTAGTCATTTCGAAAAGCATGCGAAGTAATTTATACAGCCCAAATGGTGTTGTTACAGCTGTCTTTGGTACGTCTTGCGGAGCAACAGGAACTAAGTCGATCTTCGAGAAGACAGTAGCCCCTTCTATACTATAGGTAAAATCTTGGATATCTATTAGCTACTGTTCGCTTGTTAAGTGCTCGGTGGTCTCCACATGGCCTAACTCCTCCATTCTTTTTCGATACCATATGTAATGGGGATGCCCATGGGCTGTCCGAAGGTTTTACAGTGCCCAGTCTCATCGACTTGTCGAATTTCTGTTTTGCAATTGCCAGTCTTCTGGAGTCTAATCTTCTTAACCTTGCATTAACTGGTGGCCCATTCGTTATGATATTGAAGATGGCACAAGTATTCAGTGTTTGACAACGCTCTTACCAGTACTTACTTACTTACTTACGCCTGTTACTCCTCGTGAAGGAGCATAGGCCGCTCACCAGCATTCTCCATCCAACCCTGTCCTGGGCAATCCTTTCTAGCTCCGTCCAGTTGTAATTCATCCTTTTCATATCTGCTTCTATTATCCGACGCAATGTGTTCTTTGGCCTTCCTCTTTTTCGCTTCCCTTCAGGATTCCAAGTTAGGGCTTGCCTCGTGATGCAGTTCGACGATTTGCGTAATGTATGTCCTATCCATTCCCATCGTCTTTTCCTAATTTCTTCTTCAGCTGGAAGTTGGTTTGTTCTCTCCCACAGAAGGCTATTGCTGATGGTATCCGGCCAATGGATGTTGAGTATCTTGCGTAGACAGTTATTTATAAATACTTGTACTTTCTTGATTGTGGTTGTTGTAGTTCTCCAAGTTTCAGCTCCATACAGTAGAACTGCCTTGACGTTCGTATTGAAGATTCTTACTTTGATATTGGTTGAAAGTTGTTTTGAGTTCCCTATGTTCTTCAATTGTAGGAAAGCGGCCCTTGCTTTGCCGATCTTCGCCTTTACGTCTGCATCGGATCCTCCTTGTTCATCGATGATGCTTCCCAGTTATGTGAAGGACTCTACATCTTCCAGAGTTTCGCCATCAAGTGTGATTGGATTGCTGTTCTCCGCTTTGAATTTGAGGACCTTAGTTTTCCCTTTGTGTATGCTGAGGACTACTGATGCAGAGACTGCTGCTACACTGGCGGTCTTTATCTGCATCTGTTCGTGTGTACGTGATAGGAGGGCTAGGTCATCTGCGAAGTCTAAATCATCTAATTGGTTCTGAGCTGTCCATTGTATTCCGTGTTTTCCTTCAGATGTTGAGGTCTTCATAATCCAGTCGACCACCAGAAGAAAGAGGAAGGGAGAGAGTAAACAGCCTTGTCTGACTCCGGTCCTTACTTGGAACGCATCTGTCAGCTGTCCTCCATGCACTACTTTGCACTGTAGTCCGTCGTATGAGTTCCGGATAATATTGACAATCTTCTGAGGAACTCCGTAGTGTCGAAGAAGTTTCCATAATGTCTTCCTATCTACACTGTCGAATGCCTTTTCATAATCAATGAAGTTGATGTATAGTGATGAGTTCCACTCAACTGATTGTTCGACGATGGTCCGTAGTGTTGCAATTTGATCTGTGCTCTTACCAGTAATACCTTCTAATATAACTCGTACCCACCAAGAGAAATCAAAAGACAGAATCGAGGAGATCAGAAGTTGTATTTGACGAATGGTCTGGCTAGCAATTGCAGTAGATGTTGACCACAACGTTCCCACACGTGATCTGATGCGGATGCATGACCGAGCGCCTTCAAGTAAGTGAGTCCATTAAAACATGTGGTCAGCATCCAATGTCGATGCCTATTATGTGCACTGATACATCTGTTATGACAGTCCCAGCGGTACGAAGCGCCTCGTCTGAAATCTAAGGACAACTCTCGTTTGCCGTATGTCTTGACATCGGATTTGTTCGCTGTTCTGATACCAGTGACGCATTAACATTCCTTCTCTCTTCGCTTACTGGCGGTACTACGTTGATTTCCGCTCCAGTATCAATTAGGAAGTGCGCGCCTGTCGTTCGACCTTGTGTATAAAACAGGCGACTACTTGTAGGAATTACGTTCGTTGATGCCGTCGCCATGGACAATCGTGGGTATCGCTTACCTGTTATGCCAAATCTACAAGGCTGTAAACACTTCCTAGCTCTATAGCCGTACATTTAATGTTACCAGCACATCAAGGGAGCTGTGCGCCGCCTAGAAGCTGATCGGTTTCTGTCGTGCGAGCAATCTCGTGATCTTCGTGGCCTTTCGCTCTGTGTTAATTGTGTGAGCTTGCGGCACAAAACATTTGTTTCTTTCTGCAGAGTACTAATCCTATCATCTCTCGTCACGCTGTGTAACGGAGGGCTTGTATGCTTGGTTATTTCATATATTCTATCGGCCATTTTTGCTATGTTGTCTATATCGGCGTCTGTATGTCCGACGGCTAGGATCTGCTGTACATTTAACGGAAGTCGGAGAAGCCACAGTTGACAAAACAGGTTATTGTCTATTTGCCTATTGCCCAGCAGGCTTTTCATATAACTATTCATCTGTGACGGAGTTCTATCCCCCGTTTGTACTTGAATGAGGAGCTGCTCAACAAATTGTTGGTCACTTAGAGAGAGTTTTAATTACTGCTTGCTTTAGCACGTTGTATGGCTTTCAGTGTCTGGTTTCGCTAACGCCTGTCATACGCTATCTCCTACTTCATCTGGAAGGAGTGTGCTTGTGAGGCCGAATTAATCTCTTTGTAAGTTAATGCAGTTAGTCATAAAATAATTTTCAAGTCTAATAAACCAAAGCTTCGTTTCGGAAGATTAAGAGACCTCACGGACGGGGTTCGCTGTAAACTTGAATGTTTTCGGAAGACATACTTATAAAAAATTTAAATAGCATACGAATATAATGTGTCATAAAGAAAAATGAATGGTAAAAAACAATAATAACAAATGGTACAATTTATAACAGAACAGAATTACTAAATTGCATCAATATATCAATTGTCTGTGAATAATTGTTATTTATCAAGATTATTATCGTCACGTTCAATAATGTTTGTGAAATAATGTACGTGTAACTAAAATAGTAATATAGTAAATACACAGTTATGATTATAGTCCATATGATGATCCAAATTGAGACGAAGTGCGTTGAATTTTCGGAATTTGATTATATTGTCGAAAGTCGTTTCCTGTTCTCATGTCGGGGTTACCAGTTCTGTAGTAACTGTGCTTCGCTGACCAATCACCCTCGTAACCGTTATCTATAATACTCAACTGTGTTTGAAATCAGAAGGCAAAGAGAAGCAGCGACTACAGCTTTATTAGTAGATAACTCAGACCACAAAGCCGAGAGGCAAATGAATGAGTCAGCGAACGGAGAGTGTAAATGTACATATATATATATAAAGCTAGCAAAATGAATATATGCGTAGGCAGTAATCAATGTTCAAGCATATATACTTCATACAAACACAACAATAATAAAGGTACAATAAGTTGTTATAGTACGGATTGCTCTGTCCGCTAAATAAGTCAACGAAAGTGCTTAACTGTGTTAAATGAGAACAAACTCAATTGCACGTGAGTTGCTATATCAGTAATAAGTACAGAATGTACATTAGGGGAGTGAGTTCGAAGAACAGCACCACAATGAAGAAACTTTAGTAGACTTCGTAAGTATGACTGGCTCTCACCCCATTGAATGATTTGGATGTCAAAATATTAAACAATTGATATTACAAGAAAAACTAGGGAAAACGGGGATAGCATCGAAGAGCACCAATCAATGAACGAAGTCCTGTAAGACTTTTGGAAAAGGTGCATGTCAGTGGTGCTAGTCGTTTCATATCTGGTTTTAAGACATTACTATCAACAGGGTATCCAAGGCATTCGAAATTAGATACACAGAATGAACACTTATTTGGATTCTCGGTAATATTCTTTTCGATTAAACGACGCAATAAGTCTAGTCATGAACTACCTTATCAGAACCACGAACAATGAGATCATCTTAATAAACCTCAAGATCACTGACTACCTTAATCATAACTTCCTGAAACATGGCTGGAGAACAACTTAAACCAAATGGAAGTAACTTATACTTGGACACATCAAAAGTAGAGTTAACTGTCGTCAAAATAGATGAAGATTAATCTAAAGGGATTTGAAGTTAAGCATCTTTTAAGTCGACATTCGAGTCATGAAGTCGATTTAAAATACCTTCAGCCTCTACCGTCGTGTACGTTTGCTTCAGTAAACAGGAGTTCAGTGATAAACTATAGTCATCTTATATTCTAGGGGTCTTGCCATCCGACTTCAATGGTGTAACAATAGGAGTACCATATGCTGAAGACAACCGATCCAACTATACCTTTCGCACACAAACCCTTCAATGTCTTATGTAATGCTTCTCGAAGACGATAAGGAATTATTCGTATTTGAAGCTTTATAGGCCGAATTTTCATACCTCTAGTGCACTTAGCTATCAAATGTTGAATTAAAACATCAGACTTTTCTTCGGAAACTAGTAAGAACAACACAACTGTGAACCTTTTCAAAATATTCAAACTCAGTATTGACAGTCATGTTTCGCTAACTAAAAACTCACAAGGCGTGTATGAAGAATCATCATCTCTAATAAGCAATTCACAGCATCCTCGTATGGACAGTGTGTCCATAATCCCCGAAATCGAGACTTCAGTGGGTCGTACCACAACATTAGGTTCTAGAATGAACTCTTTACTGCCTATCATGAAATGAACCAAGGGATGTATACAATAGCTTTTAAATGAGCATTACCTTTCGAAATGATGGATTAAGATAAATGATCAATAAAGGCACCCGAATTGATGATTTAAATTACATGGTTTAGTACTACTTGAAGCGAAATGAACAATAGTTTTGCGCCCTATCTTATCGCATTTAAAACACTTAGCTTTACGGAATGTATATGAATTATGAGAATGAAATTTGCCACAGGACAAACATTTACCAAACTTGCTCTCACCTTATATATTTATACGAGAATAGGAATAACTACTAAACAAACGCAAGTCTGATCAGCTCTGAGACTGTGTTTCATCATGACGACTGATCAGTATATTAGAAATTTTCACCCGACTAGGTATCAAGTTCATTCACTACTTCACAGTTGATACATGCAGTTCTAGCATATTGAAAGGGACAATTCAGTACTGTTAAGTGTTTTTCAGATATGCTATGTTAATTGCTGGAATTAACGCATCCCTTAGCTGCACATGAAGTTGGTCATAAAAACTGCACTTGGCAGCTTGTTTTTGCAATTCAAGGATGAAGTTCCTAACCTTTTAGTCATTCTGACGAATCATTTTATGGAATTTTGCTCTCTCACGAAATTTTAACACGTGCACTTTACATGATTTAATGGTAGCTCTCTAAGTGAGACAGGCTTTTATGGTATGCCGGTCTTTAATAAAATGTAGGCTTCTCTACCGATGAATGTAAGTAAATGTGCCACAATTTCCTCACCCTTCACACCTTTCTCGCTCATGCTCCAGATTTCAAACCTTTCCAAATAAAACTCAAAAGCTTTAGAAGTTGAATGCCCAACTGTTCTGTCGAGACGCCTATACGATAATTAGAAGTATTTGAATTATAGTACAAACTAGGAATCCCAGAAATAACGCAATTTAAATAAGAACTTTATGGGGACGGATGGATGTATTGTAATTTAAATTCGAAATCAAGCAGTCATCAAGTACAAAGGAATCATTGGTTCATGCAAACACCACATTATGGCAATGAATTAGTTTATAGATGACACATCGATCATCATTATTAACTCTCCTTAGAAAGTTTGCTAAATTGATAAATACGCTTAGGTGACATCCAACTCACTTTTGAAAACTAAAATGAATGCGGTCATTTGCCATTCTTACTGTCTAGTTACAACAAATTCTGATCAAAATCTAACCATACGCCGAAAATTGACACATTCAAAACGGTATATCGGTTTCAACTCTGCACATCCCTTCAGTGCGAATATTTCCCTAGCTCTGAATCTATTCAGATGAGCTACCATTATTGTTACCTCAGAAGATAAACTGACGGAAAAAAAACGAAAACGGATATCTTACGATTTAATTAACTTTATATAAACACTAATAAAAGCATGTCAAAACGAAAGGATTTGTCTTCAAATAACCTATACTATAGTTTTACCTCAGCTCCACTGTCCGACAGAATCGTTAAAACACCCTAAAAATGTACATAATTATACCTTTCTACATGTCTACGAACTTTACGAAATGCTTTAGTTCGAATTAAATAAAATATCCAATTTACATCTACATAGAGTTGTATCTGAGTATTAGGCTGTTTCGACTGTGAGGCATTATAGATTGAAGTCCTCTCGTGAAATCTAGACCCGTCCCAAGTAATACTTAAGCTGCACGAAAAGGCTTAATAATCATGTAGTGCTGAAAAATCTACGGCACATAATATTTTCAATAACCAGTGAATTGATATCAAAATAGTTCAAAAAGACTTTTCCAGCTATAAAAAAGATAAGTAGCTGAAATGTTTTATATAATGGTAAATTCCTCTTGCCTCAAATATAGTACAAGGCGTGGCTATAGATCCAACTTAGATTGTTTGTCAGCCAGCAACAACGTAGAACTTCGTACGTACATCAGTGCAAGTTGCCACACCACCTAGACTGTTTATCCAAACTACATTTAATTGTTACTTACTCAAACAATTAATAGATACACACCGCTATACACACAGTGATTTCTCACATAGAATCATTTCGCCTAATTTGATTTTGGTCATAGTAAAAATATTTTGCTCTGATTCCTTTATACTATTTAAAACCTGTGTTAATTTATGTATTGACTGTCAAGACGTGGCTTACACAAAGTCACAAGGACATCACAAATCTAGATTTCTACTCAATCGGGATATCACGAATAAATTATTGATTCTTAAATTAGACCAAGTTTTTTCACCAAAAAGGATAAATCAGATAAGTTGTTAACATCGTAGGAGGTAGTAAGTGATCATGTTTAAAGCCATATTCTTAACACTAATTTTATTACAAAAATTGTTAGTCCTTGCGCAGATGCATTTAGATCACCGTTCTGACACAAATTCCTTGGTTTTCTTAGTCTAAAAAAATCGGTCAGCCTAACTTATTCACTTGCTTTCAAAAATGGAATCGAACAAGCTATATGTGATCAATAATCAAAATGCCAGTATGAACAATCATGAACAATAAACAGTAAAATGGATTTAAAATAAATCTTTCAACAGCTATTGATGTACGACGATTTTACAAAAAAATAGTTGACCACGTGTTTCTATTTGTCCACTTTCCAACTGATTCGAGTATCTTCAATGAATGAATGATATAAGCTGTGGACCACTGCCTACCTAAACATAAAAATTGAAAAAAACTCCACTGAACATCAAAAATAGTGCTCACATAACATATATTGAACCCGCTTTAGACAGATATCAGATAACTGCGGTCTGAATACGTAGTATGATAAACACAGTATAGCGGAGTTCATGAGTCAATTGAAGCTAGACCACCATGGAAAACCTGGAAGCACTGTACGACCGTTCTGTCCTATTGTGGGACTCCTTAGCAATGCGTATTCACGACCTCGCCCCCTGCGAGATTCGAACCCAGGATTTAGTTGTTTCGTGCGCGAGCACTTAACCACTAGACCACTGAGCGGGCATCCAACGTGGTTAATATCTAACTTCAACAAATCTAAGAAATTGCGCGGATATCTCGCCTACGCCATAAATGACGCAATTTGGCAAAAGGTAGTCGAGCATTCTGTATTCGTGCTGAGATTTCGTCACACACCAGACCACAAGGGCTGATGAGACTCCCAAGATAAGTGAAGTGGTTGACACACTCAACTACTTCACTCCCTACCATTAGTTCGTGTCTCAATGCAATCCAATCCTGAAGCAACATTTTGCATTTCGAGGGGGAGAAGAGCATGCCGAACATGCTTGGATTGTTGCTTAGAGTGGTCAGAAGACTGCATTTTGTCAGCGTCTTCACCAAATAGAATTATGTCATCGGCATATTCCAAGTCAACAAGTGAATCTCCTGGTGGAAGTTCAACCCCTGGAAATGTAGACGTGTAAAGTGTTATCTCTAAAAGCACATCAACGACAAAGTTAAACAAGAATGGAGAGAGTCGACAGCCTTGACGAACACCACTTGACGTAATCAATTCTGATGACAGTTCGCCATAAGCTCTCACTTGGTCAGTTGTGTTCGAGTAGAGAGCCTTTATAAGGTTAATGTATTTCTTTGGTACACCTTTCAGTGACAAACACTGCCATAGAACCTCACGATCAATAGAGTGGAATGCCGCCTTAAGGTCGAGAAATACTACCATTGTGGGGCGTCTGAATGTGTGTCTGTGTTCTAGAACCTGACGTAGTGTGAATATCTGGTCTATACAACCACGTCCAGATCGAAAACCAGCCTGATTTTCTCTAGTCTGTTCTTCACGAGCTTTAGTTAGACGTCGAAGTATTATTGAAGCTAATATTTTAGACACTATATTTGTCAAACTGATTCCTCTGTGATTGTCACAAGAGGACTTTTGTCCTTTCTTATAGACTGGCACAATCAGTGATTGAGACCAGTCAGATGGGATTACGTCCAGTTCCCAAATTCTACCTAAGACCTCAGTTAATCTCACTGCTATTACTGAACCATCATCCTTAAAAATCTCAGGAGTAAACCTGTTAGGGTCTGCTGCTCTCCCTCGTTTCAGATTTCCTATGGCCTACATTAACTTGCCATTCAGGTTGACCGGAGATCGTGGGAAAACGAAGTGTGGCTGAAGGCCAGCTGAACTGATCCCTAAAGTGTTCTGCCCATCGATCCAACCTACTGGATCGAGAATGAATAATATGTCCATCTTCCTCTGAGTGTTTAGCTAACAGTCGGTTGCTGAGATCCAGTGTTGCTCCCTAACTTTACGGGTTACCGTACTAGCAGATATCACTGCTGTTTCCACAGCTTTTCGGATATCATTCCATGCTTCCTCGGGGTTGTCATCACTTACATGGCTGCCTAACTGTTTTCCTAGTTGTTCCTGAAATATACTCTTAGCTTGACTATCATTAAGTAGGCCCCTAAGAGGTTTACTTGCAGCGTCTTTCCTACGTCCAGTAAGACGCAGACAGATACGCGCTCGTACTAGAGCATGATCTGAAACTAGGCATGTGCTCCAGAATGAGCGACAGTCTTCTATCGAGCCCCTTCATCGGTGGCTGATAGCGATGTGATCTATTTGGGTCCAACGTTGGAACGAATTAGGGGGTCGCCATGTCAAAAGATGTTTTTCCTTATGATTAAAGTTAGTATTTGCAAGGATCAGGCGGTTATCTGAGCATAGCTGCAACAGACGGTCGCCATTATCTGTTCTTTGAGCCACAACACCATAAGATCCACCTAGGTGTCTTTCCCTATCGCTTAGTTTACCTAATTGAGCATTAAAGTCACCGGCCACTATTACTACATGCGAGCGCCTAGCTTTTCGGAGAAGATGGGAAAGCTTTCTGTAAAACTCATCTTTTACATCATATGAGCTGCAGTCAGTGGGAGAATAGGCAGAGACGACGAAGAGGCAACGACGAGTGTCCCTATCTTTCCGAGTTCTTACTGTTCCGTTTAGTCGGACAGCGCACAAACGACTGTCTACTGGGATCCACTCTAAGAGAGCTAGTTCTGTTCTAGGACTTAATGCTATACCTACGCCGGCGAGGCTACGGGAAGCAGAATCAGGGCATCCAGATACACGAAGTGTGAATCGAATCGGTTCTATATTTTGGCATGGTGAAGTCAAATGAATGACGCTACTCGGATCCTGTACGCGTTTCGGAGACGCAGCACACATAGATGGCACGGGATTCTAAAGTCATAGCTAAGGAAGCCTGTCGTCCTATTTGGCACAGTGTTCAGAAGTTAAAAGCTCCTACGTGTAGTTTAGAGCGTGGTTTCAGGAGACCAGGAATAGCCTTCCACGTACTCGAATCGTTTGCCCTAGCGGTGCGAGGTGATAAAGAGACGTGAGGAGGATTAGTCATGGAGATAAGAGAGGAATTAGTAGGTGTAGCAAGGATTTGAATGTGACCAACTTGGTCTCGTGTGCTGTTACGGGTATGAGGGTTGATATCACTTCCCGGCTGTCCACACCGTGTAAGGGTATTTCTTGAGGAACCTGAAAAGGAAATTGGATTAGTGTTGGTCTTGACGACCTGGGAGCGTGACCGCAGTGCGTAAGGAACAACTGCTTGAGGCCAGTCGCGCACGACCTTTTCGTGGAAGGTTTTTAATGTGTTAACTCCGTTCTTCAAAGGGCCTTACCGCCGGAGACGGAAATCCGTGAGGTAAGGTGAGGTGTGACATTTTTAGGGTCGATCTTTTCGAACCCCACCCCTCCTTGGGGGAAGGCAGCATCGCTGTCATGCTGGTTGTCTGAAGGAAACACCTTACTGCTGTCACACACCTCTACAGTCAACAGTACGACTACGACCTCAGACCTTGAGTTGCTGCTTTTAGTCTTACCGTTCTCCAATCGACCTGCCTGGCATGGTAGAACCTGCAGGAACATATGTCCTAGCCAATATAGCTCGGTTGGGTTATCACGACAGGCAAGCCCGACCACCGCGTCAAGATAGCAGCTTCGGTCAGGGATAATATTAATAATTTTAAATTTATTTAAACACACAAACATTGATAAAATGAGGCGGCAAATAGATATACGCCATACTTCATCATTCGATTTGTATGAGGGCTGGGATACCCCCCGGATGCCCAAACCGAAGCAGGTGGTTTTCTTAGGGAGCCACACCCAGAGCCTTTGACAAAGAAGTCTTAAAGTTCTTATATGCGTTGTAAGTTTGCTGCAGTAACTGAAGCCCGAGGTTCATGTCTTTTAAAAGATGCTTAATAACTTCACCCCAGATTTACAATCATTTAAAAGCAATTGTTTACTCAGAATTGAGCATGCTACATAGTGCAATTAAGACTAGAATCCTAATGTAACTGATCTAGTTGTGGAGGTCTTACGACTATAAAAATAATATGACGGCTATACAGCCCTTCATATTCATAGTTTCCTCGTGAACTCGATGAGTTTTTTTGAAAATTATCCTAGAAATCATCGATTGGTTACTTAAGGTCTTTGAAGCTTAGCACTGTTATAAGCCATCTGTTTTCACCTCAGCTTGCCAGCGACAGCTTTAGATTTTATGGTGTTGTTACCTAGTTCAACATAGTATTTGTTGATTTTTGTCTTCTGTAGACTTTTCAGTCAAAAACTTGATTCTTTACTCATGAAGCCTTCACGGCTAGTAGTTTTTAGCAAACATTCACAGACTGTTACAAATCATAAAAAAGGAAACGCAACACGGAAGTATTAAGCGAGAGGTAAAGAAATTTTCTTTAAAATTAAAGTGCGCTAAACTTCAATACATCTTTGCTATTTTCGTCTATCTCGAAATGGTCTGTATACTGGGTTCTGGGACTGAAACCTCTGTTTTTTATTTATTTAAACACATTGGTACAAGGAAGCATTGAATACATAGTCGCCATACAAATCATTCGATTTGCGTGATAGTTGTAATACTGCACGGGTGCCCAAACCGAAGCAGGTGGTTTGCTTAGGGAGCCACACCCAGAGCCTTTGACCAAGAGGTCTAATCCACAAGGCAATCGAGCAACGTTAAGAGATACAGTCTCATGATAGCCAGTGACCAACGGTTGGTACATACGCCATTTCTCCCTTCAAGATACTGGAGCCCATGTGCACCACTGGTTTGGAATCAGGGTTCTCCAACTCCCCTAGTTAGATCCTCCACATCCACCGACCCGGTTAAAGCGCCAGACATTCGCTTTTCGTTCTCGATTTCGTAAACAACATTCCTGCCGCGAGAAGGTGGTGAGTAGGACTTCCCTGGCAGTGGTTGAATGCACGTGGCCATGTGAGATCATTTCGAGAGGGAGAACTGACTCTCCCCACTCTCGGTCGTACCACGGCATTTGGGGGCTTGATAATAATTTATTAGAATAATCAGAAACATTCTGTAGTATGTATTGGAAAACTAAGCTTGAAAGTAAACAATAAGATTCAATGGTATGAATAATCTAGTTACTTACTTCAGTACTGATCAAGTATCTAATACCACCAGAAATAGAGGGCAATATTTTCAAGAGATTCTGTAATGAAAAATCAGAAGAAATTTAAACGAAATGTATGAGTGAAGTAAAATTAGATGAGGAATATTATATTTTAGAAAAATTTTATTAATTTTGCTTCACGTACACTCAAGATATAATACAAGGATGGAGAACTGCTCGAAACAGATAGGTAACAGCATGTAGCAGTCAGTATATAGACATCATAAATGGATAAGTAACAAATATTACGATACCCCATCATTAAAATGATCTAATTCATTGATTGTATAAGCCATAGTATGATCCAATTCGACTCTTACTCGTTAACAGCAAAAAATGCAAAAAGCACTATTATATACAAAAATCTACTGAGGAAAGATTGACAAGTAAAACCTGGTTCAGCAAACAAAATTACAATCAAAACATGCTACGGTAAATCCTCACTGATGATAAGAGTAAGATTATTTTCACTGCTGACGAATTTAAGTTTAACGGTTGAAGCCATGACCAGCAGAGTCGAATCGGTGTTCGACGAAGACATGTATCTACCTCAGACAATGGGAGAATGCTTGCGCAAGATCATGGGTCGATTGAAGTTCGACATTCATACCGTTGAATGCCGGCTCAATAATCCAGATGTTAGGCGATCGTGCACGAAACCGAAGGTCCCGGGTTCTAGTCCCGCATGCAGGATCCTGAATGAGCAGTGCTGTGAAGGCCCATACTACGACAAAACGGCAACTCAGTGCTTCCAGGTTTTCAATGGTAGCTTAGATCGACCGATGAGTTTAAACGATAAAATCACTACTGCCGATCACCAGCATTCTCCATCCAACTCTGTCCTGAGCAATGCTTTCCGGTTGATATTCATCCTTTTCATGTCTGCTTCCAATTCTCGACGAACTGTGTCTCTTGGTCTCCGTTTTCCGTTTCCCTTCAGCATTCCTAGTTAGGGATTGCTTCGTGATGCAGTTTAACGATTTCCAAAATGTGCGTCCTATCCACCTCCAACGTCTTTTGCTAATTTCCTCTTCAGATGGGAGCTGGTTTGTTCTCTCCCACAGTAGTCTGTTCCTGGTCGTATCCGGTCAATGGTTGTTGAGTATCTTCAGTAGACAACTATTTATAAATACTTGTACCTTCTTGATGATGGATTTGGTAGTTCTCCAAGTTTCAGCTCCGTACAGTAGAACTGTCTTGACGTTCGTATTGAAGATTCTGACTTTGATATTGGTCGAGTTGCTTGAAGTTCCATAAGTTCTTCAATTGTAGGAATGTTGCCCGTTCTTCTGATCTCGAAGATGGGCGTCTACTGAATCCTTGGACCGGTTCGGTAACATCCGAAAACTTTTCCTGGTACTGATCACAGTGCGGTCTCTATAGTCCTCACAATTGCTCAGAACTCCTTTCTTTGGTATCTTTAGAGTCTGTCGGCACATGTTGAACCTTTGTAATGCTGTTTTTCCAGTTGTTCAATGTTTCTTTAGCTTCAGTTTCAACTTGACAACCACCAGGCGATGGTCTGAAGCTATTTCAGCTCCTCTCCTTGTGTAGTGAAGGAGAACACAGGTGCGGACAACCGAATGTATTTAAGCACAAAATTACAGAGCATCTCAATAAAATCTGAGAACCTTATAGTAAATCGTTAATTTGCAAAATATCAATCCATCGTTTAAAACTTGACTGTTCTTGTTGCAAATATCAATCCATTGTCTCAGATTTCACTATTCATGAGTTTTCATGCCAATTGCGTCCCGTTCCCGTTCTTTCCTCATCGACCTTCTATTGGAATACACTCTATTCCTGACCACCATTATATACTACTTGTGTAAATATAAGTAACCCATACCACACTTGTTCTCACGTCTTCCATTGTCCTTTTGAACTTTTTAGTGATGCAGATATGATCGATCTGGTTCTTCGTAGTGTGGTGTGGTCCGGTGATACGCACGTAGCCTTGTGTATGCGTTCGTGTGGGAATATGGTGCTCCCTACAAACATTTTGTTGAATACACATGAATTCGTGAATCTCTAACCATTCTCGTTCTTTTCTTCTAGTCCATGTCGTCCAATATCTTCATATTCGGTGTTTAGATCTCTCATCAGGATGGTCAGTTCCTTTTCTGAGCACTCCGTTATGATCGATTGCAGCCTCTCGTAAAACCGATCCTTATTTTCGTCACTGCCATAATAGGTGGTGCAACACATTGGTTGTGATTCCCTCCTTTCTTTTGAAGGGTGCTTTGATGATTCTAGATCCATGAGATCCCCACCCAATATATGCATATAACGCTTCTTTAAAAAAGCATCAGAGAAACCTCCGAAAGATGTGGAGCATTTTCCTCTTCCTGATAAGAGTACAGTGGCGTCTCTCCTGAATCTATCCTTTTCTGTTCATCTTGGGTTCAATAGGTTTCACTGATTCCGAGAACCGCCAAGTTGAATCTCCTCATTTCCATAGCTATTTGACTGGTTCTCCCGGTCTCCAACATTGTCCGGACATTCTATGTACCTATATTAATGGTTGATATGGTTGGTAGAATGGGCATCAGCCACGTGACTACCAAAGAATATCGGCTTTTACTACAACGCGTCATAATTCTTCTGAATGCAGATGGTTGAGCTTCCAGGATAGAGTTCAAATGGTTTAAATTATTTTTTTTCTGGTTAGCGTTTTTTGGCAAGGTTGGTGATTCTGTGTCCAACCCTCCTCTATTATCTTGGCTTGCGACCAGCAGTAACCCTAGAAGAGCTACAGGCGGATTTTAATGCCAAACACAACATACTGTTGCATACATGATAAGACAGAGTTAAAAGTGTGACACATACTTTAGTCAAATTTATTTTAATTAATTCGGTATGACAATCATATTTTCCCTAGCAATTAAGTACGGATTGTTTCTTACTATTTTCTTATTATTACGAAGTGTTTTTCAAAAGTAATTACTCCGACCATATAGATAAATCTCTTTGTAATATGAGCAGAGTAACAAAATAGTCTCAGAGACATTATTGAATACAATGTTAATTAGTGCTCTAGCAAAAGTTTTAAAAAAAAATTGTAAAATAATGTGTACGTACACAACAAGTATGGTGGTAAAAGAAATGTACACTACAGTACATATTTAGCCGGGAAAAGTTTTCGAAAATACGAATGTGATATAACGATAATATGGATCATTGGTTGAAAGACTCTTTTAGAAATTCATTTTTACTTCTGACCTATTAAAGTCAGGACAATTTGATAGTACCATTTTCGATGTGGTCAATGGTTAAGGGTAAAAGGTCGGTAATGGTTGCTGAATTAGATTGCATGAATTTTATATCGCTAAGCAACTAAAATTTTATTATTCAACCAGTGTAGACGGTCAAACATTTATCGCAAATGTAACAGTAATTCCTGACAAAATGAGTTACATTACTTGCGAGCTAGTAATGCTATACAGTTGATCATATATTGGTAAATGAAAAAGGGATAAAACATCAAGATGCAATACTTAAGTGGTGAATAAACTTATAAGAAAAAGGCCGGAAATGGAACCAAGGACCGTTTCAAGTGAATGAGAAGACCACATACATGGAGATTTCCCAAGGAATGGCTAATAACTTCTAAAAGTCACTCATGACTTAAATACCTATTACTCAAAATTATAACAACAATATATCTGTATGCCAACTAAAATTGTTATTCATTAATAACTTCATTTTTCAAATAAGAATTACATCTTTTGACGGAATGGGTAGTACAAAGTGACATCACAGATGACAGGTTTTGCTAAAATCTAATAATTTCAAGAAAAAATAAATGATGGTTAGTATGGATATAGGGGTCTACGAAGTCCTTGTAAAAGACGTAGGACTCCAGTTTGAATAAATAAAAAAATGAAACACGTGGCAGATTGTCAGATACTTCACAAACATGATTGAGAGAATTCAATGACTATCTCTAATAGATATAGATTTTCGATAACTTATTGGCCGAAGCAATCGTCTTACAGCCACTAAGTTATATATTTAGTCAATTAATCACAACCACAGATAAGCCTAGTACAAAGATGTATTAACCCAAATTACAAAACCTAATAAACAAGGTAAAAAGAAACTAACGAGGAAAATAGCGAAGACGAAATGACGCAGTACCAACGATAATCAGAAAGACTAAACACTGAAAATGCTGTTCGAGAATATGGGATAAGAAGTAATATATAAGGGAATTCTGAAACACAAGATCTAGAGGAAGATAAATAGTGAATGCATCTAGGTCATTGTGACTGCTTTTAAAACATGTCACCGAATGTTGAGCGATCGTGATTATCACGCGGACCCTAAACCAAGTGGTATGCACCTACCAGACCATCAGCTAATTACTTCATGTACTGATGTCATATTTCAATTTGAAGGCTCCCAGATTTCAACTTACTTAACCAAGTCCCGCCAACACTGAGCGTATTCAAAAACTTCACACCCTGAGATCAACCTAGGAGAGAATATTTTACAATCGGAAGTAAAGGAACAGATCCCAAACATCCCTGGGTCGTTATTTAAGACGTCCAGGTAACTCTGCATTACGCTTGCTCCCTACCAGATAAGGAAATGTTAACTGAATACTCCATGTGGATTAATGGGTTTACATGAAAAAAGATAATCCCCGATCTGATCCATGAAATCAAATAAAAAGTGGTATTGGAAACATTGACGAACACTACTTGAGACTGACAATTCTAATGACGATTTGTGATAATCTATGACTGGATTGGCTTAGACATCACTACATCTACTTCGGTATGACCACCCAGACCACGTCATTAGACATTGTATCAAGTCTAGTTGGAAACCTAACTTACATAAACCAATACTTGATTAATGAATTGTGTTAAAAACAAATACAAAAATAAGCGTGTAAAACCTTTCAGCAGAAGGTTCACATTTAAAACAGATCATAATCACTTTGCATTTGGAATGTTTCTTCGGAGATCAAAGTTACCATTTGTGCACTACATAACGATCATTTGAGTGAGAGACAAATTCTTAAGGTGCTTGGATAAGAAAAAGGTATCTCGAATAGAATATTTTCAAAAGATAAATAAAAATGATTCCCCTAGAGAACTGTGAGAATCATTATCTTCTAAAAACTAAACTTGGAAAAATTACCTGATCTAATGGTTTATCTGACAAACCGTAGGGAATCCCAGTAATTTTCAGATACTTATTTGAATTCAGACATTTGATGGTAACTTTATCCGCATCATTGAAAAAGCTATCGGCTCCCACCGTATAACCAAAACATTCAACAAGATATTTCAAAACAATGGAAATATTTTGTGATTCAGTCAGTAAAAATGCATTTGGACCAGCGTCAAACGTGTAAGCAACCTATACATAGGAAAAAGCATTCATTATTAACCGTAAAATAAAAATGCCATCGGTAGATTTAGAGAACAACTTAACTGAGAACTTAATCTAGTTTAAAGTTTTTTATGCAGTAGTCCACCAAGATCTTGTAGAAACAACAGATATGGTTAATGGGTATTAGCACTGAATCAAACAAATGTTAGCAAACTCGTTTCAGCTTCACTCAAAGAGTAAAAGTCACTGAAACACAGAGTGATAAAACATCTATGAAATGACAGTTTATTTATTTATTTGAACACATAAATATTCGTACGGAAGGCCACCACATACATATGCCCCACATAATAACAATGAAAGTGAAAAAATTGAGAAAAAGAAGAACAATAACGAGCAGAAATTAGTGTATGATGGGAGATGCAGTTCGGTTAGCAAATAAACAACCAGAAAGAATTCTTTCAGTTAAAGGAGTTACGTCCTTTTTTATAAAGTAAAATAAAGTTACAGCAGGATCGCCAATAGCTTCTATTCTGAGCCATATCTGATAACGTCTCTAGCCACTGTGTTGCACTATCTTTAGGACCTCAACCAGGGAGTCGTAAAGTACCGACAGGAACCAGTCATGTACAACTTTCTCTTATAGCACGACACCATATCGTACACTGACAACCTATCCGCATTTTTCAACCAAATAATGCACAACGTGGAATTATCTGGGACGACATTCGTAGAACATGTCCAAGACACCGAAGTCAGTGTTTCAAGATAGTAACATCGATTGCATTATCATCTCTGTGCCCGAACACATGATGCCGAACCTCTGCATTACTAACATGGTGTTGCTATACGTGAATCGACCTCACCACTCAAGTCACCACCAGCAATTAATCAGCTACCGAGATGCACGAACTTCCCGGCTACTTCTATCTGCTCACTACCCAGGTTGAGTGTATGATCAGAATCTTTTCGGTCTTTAAATGATAGTGCATATTGTGGATTAACGTATATGACAAGTCTGCTACTGGAACGCTTGTTATTACCTTCCTTACTACTTTCTATAACCACAAACTACATATAGACGTCAAAAAGTCGACTAGATATAAAAGCAGTCATTACAATTTCGACAAACTCAGATAATGCAGTAAGACGAAGTTTATCAGAAGTGTGAGATATATTAACACAATACCTTGTTAGTAATGACTTAGTATCCAGAGTGGTGTGAATTATACTGTTCTTCTTTATTTTTGTTTTCTATGTTCCAATTTTTCTAATCTGACATTTATTATACATGTCTTAATAAATAAATGCGTGACCAGACCTCAAAATGTATTGTACCAATAAATTTTCTCAGTGCATTATTTAAATTTATCGAAGGAACTAAATGTTTTACACTAAAAAATGGTTTAGACTGATAACGCATATGTGGACAAACAGTTAGCAGTGAGATAAAACAACTACTAAAAAGGAAACAACAGTGATTAACTCTTAGACTAAGTTACTAGAAATAACAGAAAGAATTAAGCTTTCACGAGTTCATCAGTTAGAGTTAAGGAGCAAGATGCAATCCCGTTCAACGAACCCAAATCGCTGATTGCACTGGAATGTAGCAAAGGACACATCATTTTTTGACTATCAAAAGAATCAGTTAACGAAGCTTATTAGACCTTAGGTTTCTTAATAACTCAATATCTAGCTGAAGCTTACAAATAACCAACCTGAGCGGGTCAAGTTCATTTCCAACCATGAAACTATATATGGGAACTATTAACAACACACCAAGGATTAAAAAAGTACCCAAATTTGCAACTTCATCGGATGCTAAGTGATGTTAAGGCATTACGCACCAATAAGCAATGCTATGCAACTTGTTAGAGGGATATAGGTTGGATTAAAGCATGCTCAATGTATGATTGCCTTGGTGCACACTGATTGGCTAATTCTTATCTAGTTGACACTTGGAGAATACTCGAGAAATCTCCTCATGTACAGACTACAAATATACTAACGTTTTTCCTACTTTGCTTCTTACTTCCGTCTAACCTTGCTATCTGGAATATAATCTCTTTCCTGTTCAACCGCGTTCTGATTTGGATACTTGTCGAGTGAACTGGTGTCCGAGAATACTAAGCAGTATATTTGAAGACGAATGTGCCGCTCAGTTGTTAAGATAATATAACTATAGTTGCGAGGTAGTTCGTTTATTAATTGTCAGTGTAACATGAAAGCCGATTCATGAAATTGGTTACCTTTACGAACTTGAATAATATGAATTAAAAATATTTCGTGGTTTCTCATCAACTGTTTGGAACCGTATATCTATTAATGTGCAATATCGAGGCACGATATGTGAGAAAAAATTGACATTGATGGCGGAATTAGAATAACAAATATTATATATATATATAGGTAAGACATTATTTATTTGGACGCATGAATATTTGTACAAAGAGACGGCAAATACATATGCTACATTCACTTAGAGTTTATATCATTTGATTTTCTTGTGGGCTGCAATACCACCCGGGTGCCCAAACCGAAGCAGGTGGTTTGCTTAGGGAGCCACACCCAGAGCCTTTGACCAAGAGGTCTAATCCACAAGGCAATCGAGCAACGTTAAGAGATACAGTCTCATGATAGCCAGTGACCAACGGTTGGTACATACGCCATTTCTCCCTTCAAGATACTGGAGCCCATGTGCACCACTGGTTTGGAATCAGGGTTCTCCAACTCCCCTAGTTAGATCCTCCACATCCACCGACCCGGTTAAAGCGCCAGACATTCGCTTTTCGTTCTCGATTTCGTAAACAACATTCCTGCCGCGAGAAGGTGGTGAGTAGGACTTCCCTGGCAGTGGTTGAATGCACGTAGCCATGTGAGATCATTTCGAGAGGGAGAACTGACTCTCCCAATTCTCCGTCGTACTAGGGCACTTGAGGGCAAGGCCGGCAACTGTAAGACACGGAGCTCTGGCTTACGGGACGAAGCCCGATATGGGAATGGAACCCACGACCCTGAGATTAAGAGTCCTATGATTGAAATCACTTAAAATTAGATATTACTAAATTACGTCTGTTACCCCTCACGGAGAAGCACAGACCGATCACCAGCATTCTCCATCCAACTCTGTCCTGAGCAATGCTTTCCGGTTGATATTCATCCTTTTCATGTCTGCTTCCAATTCTCGACGAACTGTGTCTCTTGGTCTCCGTTTTCCGTTTCCCTTCAGCATTCCTAGTTAGGGATTGCTTCGTGATGCAGTTTAACGATTTCCAAAATGTGCGTCCTATCCACCTCCAACGTCTTTTGCTAATTTCCTCTTCAGATGGGAGCTGGTTTGTTCTCTCCCACAGTAGTCTGTTCCTGGTCGTATCCGGTCAATGGTTGTTGAGTATCTTCAGTAGACAACTATTTATAAATACTTGTACCTTCTTGATGATGGATTTGGTAGTTCTCCAAGTTTCAGCTCCGTACAGTAGAACTGTCTTGACGTTCGTATTGAAGATTCTGACTTTGATATTGGTCGAGTTGCTTGAAGTTCCATAAGTTCTTCAATTGTAGGAATGTTGCCCTTGCTTTGCCAATCATTTCCTTCACGTCTGCATCAGATCCTTCTTGTCCATCGACGATGCTGCCCAGGTACGTCTCCACCTCTTAAAGATTTTCTCCATCAAGTCTGACTGAGTTGGTTTTCTCTGTGTTGTATTTGAAGATCTTGCTTTTTCCCTTGTGCATGTTGAGGCCTGCTGATGCAGAAGCTGCTGCTACATTACTTATCTTCATCTGCATTTGTTGGCGTGTGTGGTATAGAAGGGCTAGGTCATCTGCGAATTTCAAATCGTCTGGTTGCATCCAACCCGCCCATTTTATTCCGTGCTTCCTCTCAGAATTTGAAGTCTTCATAATCCAGCCAACCATGAGAAGAAGAAAAAGGGGGAGAGTAAGAAGCTTTGTCTGACTCCAGTCCTCACTTGGATGAAAATAGATATAAGACATTTAGTCATGAATTGGTGATTGTCTAGAGTTAGAAATTGATAAGGTAGGTTATTTGATAATTAAACAAGATTTGAAGAGTTTATATAAGTTTAGAGAATTGAGTGAATGAAAAAACTGATGAACGAAAGGATAATTTTAGTTTACATATAATAAGAATTAGTTTGGTGGAGACCACATAACAAAATAAACACGAATAAAATAATCATAATATTGATAACAGAACATAATAATTTACCAAGGTAATGATGAGTTGGTTACTGTTTCTTTCTGGACACATAAATTAGGATTGAGTTCCTTGATTACCACTGCTTCGCCAAACCGGAGACGCTACGTTTGTTTTGTCTGCCGGTAATTTTGAAGGATTGAAAAATGTCAATGCTATGCTTGGTATCAATTAAATGCAGGGCTATTGCATTATTTGGAGACATTGCGACTTTCAGTCCGAAATTCTTTAGAACGTGCACAGAAATGCGGACATGCACTCTCCGTACTTCAAATGTGTACTTTGGCATGCACATGTAAGGTGGCAAGTGCAGTTGGAGGAACTGAGAAAAGAGGATCTGTCAGTTTTTGTTTGTTTGAGCCAGTAGTTCATTTTGTGTAATGTTGTCGGTCTTGCCCATTGATAGGCAATCTTTATAGAGGTATTTATTCTGTGGTTACCTATACCACATAACATCCTACATAAAGACTTTGATCCTATTTCGATCATGCAGAAATACTGACTAACGAGGGGTAGGCTGGTTTTTGACCACGTCGTTGGTGCATTGATCACATCGTTACTATCTGCCATGCTTACAGAACGCCAACAAACATTGCTTTTCTTGACATTAGAGTCGTCTTCGACTAGGCCGACAGAGCTGTGCCTTGGTAGTGCCTGTGGAACAAAAGTGTCTAGAACGTTAAGCAATATGTTGAACGTTTTGTACACGGACACATCAAGCAATGTGAGAGGACATAACTACCTCGAACTATCATTCCAGTTTATCAACAAAGTTAGATACGGTTGCCAAAACTCACCATTCCTCTTAAACTTCGCCGCTGATATTCTGGGGTAGATCCAAAGGACATGGTGATGTGGAACTGTCAGTAAGCTACAACGTAGGACCAGGTACATATATGCATAGGTCCAAGTTGCCGCACCTCATTAACACAACAGATGAACAAATTCATAGAAGTAGTCACTTCAAAGGTAGTAATATAGAGAAGAAAGATTGTGTATGAGGATATAATACATGAATAAAGAATCAGTTCGTAGAAAGAAAGGTATCAAGTAATTTAAATCTCACGGTTTAAGGGAAAACAAAGATTGTATACACATACACCATTGTGATCGATTCTAAGCCATGTCACTCAGTGTTCAACCGTTGGTTACGATAGTGTGGATCTGTCAACTGTAGAGAGACTATGATCTTGAGTAGGTGGGTGATATTATCTTACTATGGGACGATGTACAAGCTACATAAATCGCACTTCATCATTTGGTAATTAGTGTTCGTTACTGCGGTTCGATAGTATGTGTTTGGTAAGTGACGATACTTTAATATGTGTTAATATCTTGAAACAGTGATCTCGGTGCCTTGAATATACTTTATTAATGCTGTCTTACAGCCCCCACACCGCCCACTACTTGCCAAAGTTGGAATTTAGATGAAGTGGAGGTGGTCACTTTATGATATAGTACTTACTTACTTACTTACGCCTGTTACTCCCAATGGAGCATAGACCGCCGACCAGCATTCTCCAAACCACTCTGTCCTGGGCCTACTTTTCTAATTCCATCCAATTCTTGTTCATTTTTCTCATGTCTATTTCCATTTCTCGGCGTAATGTGTTCTTTGGTCTTCCTCTTTTCCTTTGGCCTTGGGGATTCCATGTGAGAGCTTGTCTTAAGACGCAATTGGGTTCTTTCCTCAATGTGTGTCCAATCCACTTCCAGCGCTTCTTCCTGATTTCTTACTCCACTGGGATCTGGTTTGTTCTCTCCCACAGTACGTTGTTGCTAATAGTGTCCGGCCAACGGATCTGAAGTATTTTGCGTAGACAACTGTTAATAAACACCTGTATTTTCTGGATGATGGCTTTCGTAGTTCTCCAGGTTTCTGCCCCATACAGTAGAACTGTCTTAACATTTGTATTGAAAATCCTGACCTTGGTGTTGGTTGACAGTTGCTTTGAGTTCCAGATGTTCCTCAGTTGTAAATATGCTGTTCTTGCTTTGCCGATCCGCGCCTTCACATCTGCATCAGATCCACCCTGTTCATCAATGATGCTGCCCAGATATGTAAAGGTTTTTACATCTTCCAAATCTTCTCCGTCAGTTGTGATTGGATTGGTGCATGCTGTGTTGTAACGGAGAATCTTGCTTTTCTCTTTGTGTATATTGAGACCTACTGCTGCTGAGGCTGCTGCTACACTGGTCGTCTTTTCTTGCATTTGTTGTTGCGTTTGCGATAGAAGGGCCAGATCATCTGCGAAGTCTAGATCGTCCAGCTGCATCCTAGATGTCCACTGTATCCCGTGCTTCCCGTCAGATGTTGATATCTTCATAATCCAGTCGATCCCCAGGAGAAAGAGAAAGGGTGAGAGTAAGCAACCTTGCCTAACACCGGTCTTCACTTCGAATCACTTTGTCAACTGTCCTCCATGCACGATTTTGCAGTGTAATCCATCATATGAACTCTGAATGATATTGACTATCTTCTGAGGCACGCCGTAGTGTCGAAGAAGTTTCCATAGTGTTGTTCTGTCCACGCTATCAAATGCCTTTTCGTAGTCAATGAAGTTGATGTAGAGTGATGAATTCCATTCAATTGATTGTTCCACAATGATCCATCGAGTTGCGATTTGGTCTGTACACGATCTATCCTTACGGAATCCTGCTTGTTGACCACGAAGTTGGGCGTCTACGTAGTCCTTCATTATGTTTGACAATACCCTGTTGAAGACTTCCCCCGGCATTGAGAGAAGAGTGATGCCCCTGTAGTTATCACACTTGCTGAGATCGCCTTTCTTTGGTATTTTGGTCAGGTGTCCCTCTTTCCAGTTTGTTGGTACTTGTTCCTCATCCCAAATCTTGCTGAAGAGAATGTGGAGTATCCTTGCAGTTACTGCTACGTCTGCTTTTAGTGCCTCAGCTGGAATGTTGTCCGGTCCTGCTGCTTTGCCACTCTTGATTTGTCTGATGGCTATGCTTATCTCTTCAATTGTTAGTGGGCCAACATTGATTGGGAGGTCTGTGGGTGGTGCTTCGATGTTGGGTGGGTTCAGTGGAGCTGGTCGATTCAAGAGTTCTTTGAAGTGTTCTACCCACCTGTTTTGTTGCTCTTCAATGTTGGTGATTACCTTGCCTTCCTTGCTTTTCACTGGTCGTTCTGCTTTGCGGCGACTTCCATAGAGTTTCTTTGTCGTGTCATACAATTGTCTCATGTTTCCTTCTCTTGCAGCCTTTTCCACCGTCGTTGCTAGATCTTCCACATATTTACGTTTGTCGGTTCTGATGTTCCTCTTCACTTTTTTGTTTACTTCTGTGTATTCAGCTTGTGCCTTGGCTTTTTCTGCTCTTGTACGGCTGGTATTGTTTGCTGCCTTCTTGTTCCTCCTTTCTTGAATCTTATCCAGTGTGTCAACAGTGATCCATTCCTTGTGGTGGTGCTTCTTGTGACCCAGGAACTCATGACATGTTGAAGTGATTGCTTCTTTGATCCCCTTCCAGTTGCTCTCCATTGTAGTTCTTTCTCCGTTGAGTAGATCATGAAAGGCCTGTGACTTACTGCTGAGGACTATCTTGAATTCGTTGAGTTTGTTAGTATCCTGAAAAAAGGCCGTATTGAACATTTGTGATGTTGTCCGCCCCGTTGTGCAGTGCTTCTTGAGTTTCAATTTCATCTTGGCGACCAGCAAGTGATGATCTGGTGCTATACCAGTTCCTCTCTTGGTTCGCACGTCCTCCATCGTCCTCTGAACTTTTTGTTGATGTAAATATGGCCGATTTGGTTTTGCGTATTGTGATCCGGTGAAGTCCATGTGGTTTTGTGTATGCGTTTATGTGGGAATATGGTGCCGCCTATGACCAGTTTATTGAAGGCACATAGATTTGCAAATCTCTCACCATTTTCGTTTCTTTCTCCCAGTCCGTGTCATCCCATGATGCCTTCATATCCAGTATTGTCTGTTCCAACCTTGTCATTGAAGTCTCCCATCAGAATGGTCAGGTCCTTTGTTGGGCACTTCTCGACGATTGACTGCAGCCTATTGTAGAATTGATCTTTAGCTTCTTCATTGTAGCCGTTGGTAGGCGCATAGCATTGGATGATGTTCATTGAAGTGCCCTCTTTCTTTGTTTTGAAGGAGGCTTTGATGATCCTGCGTCCATGAGATTCCCATCCTATAAGTGCATTTTGTGCTCGTTTGGACAGCATCAATGCAACTCCTTGTGTATGTGGGGCATTTTCTTCTTCTTCTTCATGGCCAGAGTATAACAGAAGCTCTCCTGAAATTAGTCGTTGTTGTCCAACTTTCGTCCAATGTGTTTCACTGATCCCAAGCACCTCCAGGTTGTATCTCCTCATTTCTGCAGCAATTTGGAAGGCTCTCCCGGTGTCCCACATTGTACGAACATTCCATGTACCTAAATAAATGGTCGCTCTAGTTGTCAGAAGGGGCATCGGCCTCGTAACTTCTGAAGGAATTCGGCTTCCATCATGAGGTGTCATAATTCTTCTAAATGAAGACCTTCTGACTCCCGGGGCAGAGTTTAAAAGGTTTGAATAATTTTTTCTGATTAGCGTTTTTTTAGTGAGTTAGTTTTCTACGGGATGGGGACGCTAACCCCATGCCCAACCCTTCTCCTTTATCCGGGCTTGGGACCGGCAGTAGCCCTCGGAGGGACCTCAGGCGGAGTTTTATAATATAGTCCCATGATTATATAGCTCGAGTCTGTCTCCCCATACTTGGTTGAGGTCCTAGAGGTGCTGTAACTTAGTAGCTTGGGACGTTATCAAACGCGACTTGAAACGGAAGTCAGTAAATATCTTGATGTAGTTCTTTAGAACATTCTTACTGAAATGGAGATGAGCCCTCTTAACTGAAAATCGGTCTTGACAACATCTTTAACTGAACTGTATCTGTTGCTAAATGCCATTTTTGGTTACTTATTTAAGAAATCTACGCTCTACTGTTCTTCTTTACAAAATTACCGCTTCATTTGTGTGGAGAATTGTTTGAGTGATCTACTGTCCTAGCTTTATGTGCTATAATGATTAAAATCCTCACTACAATCTGATTTTAAAGCCATTTAAACAACAAATGAACTTTTAAAAAATATCTTACCACATTTTTCATAAAATAATTGTTTATGTTGTGAACGAAATCCATTATAAAATGGCTTAATTCATTAAGATAAATACAGGGTGGCCAGGTATCAAGGCATAAAGCATGAAGTTGGTTACTTTCACGCATAGTCGCTTCTGCCAATGCAGAGAAGTCACGATTTTTTAAGGCTGAAATAATCTCTTTTTCATGTATTTTAGCAGATGGTACACGGCCATTTCGAAACAAATCACTAGTTTTTACACAGCGAAGCATTGCATCAGTCGAGCCAACAGGTTTAGGGTTTTCATTAGTCTATAAAGCAAATCAAAAACCAGTGCAAAAAAGTAGTATGGCTATAAATGACGATGTCGAAACTACATAATTCAAATATATTACAGAAAACAGTTTGACATAATTAGCTTATCAGTAGTCATAAACCGACAAAAGTAAATGTTAACGAATAATTAAAGGTACATGGATTTCTGACCAGTCTATGAGTAATCAAGTTATTTTACTCCTGAGAATTATTTGAATGAATGTTTCATATGCACGTTTATACCGAGCAGACTGAACCCATATATCTTACACTTGGGACTAACCAGTGAATACATTTAAGATTCTAAAATTCAAATATTACATTAGCATTCGACTCTGTTGATCGTGAGGTTCTATGGCAGTGTTTGTCACTGAAAGGAGTACCAAAGAAATACCTTAACCTTATAAAGGCTCTCTACTCGAACACAACTGACCAAGTGAGAGCTTATGGCGAACTGTCATCAGAATTGATTACGTCAAGTGGTGTTCGTCAAGGCTGTCGACTCTCTCCATTCTTGTTTAACTTTGTCGTTGATGTGCTTTTAGAGATAACACTTTACACGTCTACATTTCCAGGGGTTGAACTTCCACCAGGAGATTCACTTGTTGACTTGGAATATGCCGATGACATAATTCTATTTGGTGAAGACGCTGACAAAATGCAGTCTTCTGACCACTCTAAGCAACAATGCAAGCATGTTCGGCATGCTCTTCTCCCCCTCGAAATGCAAAATGTTGCTTCAGGATTGGATTGCATTGAGACACGAACTAATGGTAGGGAGTGAAGTAGTTGAGTGTGTCAACCACTTCACTTATCTTGGGAGTCTCATCAGCCCTTGTGGTCTGGTGTGTGACGAAATCTCAGCACGAATACAGAATGCTCGACTAGCTTTTGCCAAATTGCGTCACTTATGGCGTAAGCGAGATATCCGTCTATCAACCAAAGGACGTGTTTACTGTGCAGCAGTTCGTTCCGTCCTACTTTATAGCAGTGAAACATGACCGGTAAGAGAAGATATTCGTAGGTTACTAGTATTTGATCATAGGTGTCTTCGAAGCATGGCTCGTATATCCTGGGACCATCGAGTAAGTAACACAGCTGTTAGGAAACGGGTACTAGGTAAGGATGGCAAATCAATTGACGAAGTAGTGAAACTTCATCAGTTGAGACGGCTCGGACACGTGTTACGTATGCCCAACCACCGACTGCCTCAACGTGCGATGTTCAGTGGTATAGGAGTAGGTTGGAAGGAAGCTAGGGGCGGCCAGACCAAAACATGGCACAAGTCCATGAAGTCATTGACAAGTGGACTGAGCCATGTTGGTAGGTGTAGACTACCTGGTTGGGGACCGCGAGATGATAGCAACCGATGGTTAGAGACCCTGAATGACATGGCTCAAAATCGTTTGCAATGGCGCAGGTGCGTACACTCTTTGTGTTCTCCCAAATTCTAATCTTCTGACTTCTTCATGTCACTTTCTTTTTTCTCTTCCCAAATTTATTTCACTGGATTATACTCTTTAAATAGCATCTCCAAACCCTAATCTTTCCGGTTACTGCGTACACTCTTACTAGCTCTACCACTATGGTATTTGAATCGACGACTGCACCTCTGTGCTAATGTGGTGTGGCAACTCGAACTGATGTACGTACGTACGAAGTTCTACGTTGTTACTGACTGAATGACTAAGGAAAGTAAACTGCGAGATTTAAAAATGTAACCTGCTAGGAAGAGATAATCAGCTTATGTTATTCGATATATTTATTTGAACACAAATATTGGTACAAAGGAGCACCGAATACATATGTGCAACACAAGTCACTTGATTTGTATGTGGGATGTGCCCCAACCGAAACTTATGAATCATCTACGACATGGTACGATGTTTTGGAGAATGAGTGAACAGAGATAGTGATATCAAGAAACACCAATTTGTGAGGTCAGACTACCGATCTTGACATTCGATGTGTCATGATGAACAGGAAATTGATTAATATCCCACGACCCAACCTTGTTTAATGTTGTTTGATCTACAGATATCACTGAATGATAACGGACCATACTGTGATTCCAAATAAAGTAGTTATAATCAAAATAAAACTTCGAAACTTGCTACAGCAAATCAGAACGCATGCAGATGAAATTGATAAGAGAAACCGTAGGGAAATCGGAACGGTACTAGCATTAATTGAAGTAAGAATTATTAAACACAGAATATGGTTCCAAAAGAAGGAACCGATTTATTTCATGCTAGTAAAGATGAATGATTCGTTACATTAAGGCTAAGAAGCCACAATTACGTTCTTAGTATTATTTAGTTAGGAACTGTCAGGAAACATAGATTCAACTTCATAAATAGTTAGTATCCCGTTACATAGTATTACTTCGCATTGTCAATCGTTCCCAAAAACAGTGCAGCACAGTAGATTGAGACGTGACCAGACATTGCTCAGAATAGAAGCCAGTAGCGGTCATGCTTCAACTTTAAGTTTGATATATCAATCCCCACTTAGTTTTGCTCTTCTTCATCATACCTTCCTTTCTCTACCCCTTCACAAGTTTATTTGTGTGACGTATATATATTTTGGTGCCCAGTTGTACCAACGTTTACGTGTTTAAATAAATAAATTTGTCAACCGGTTAGTATTTTAACAACTGAAATATATTCACAATAAATCAAAACCAAAAATACTGATTAGAGTCCCCAAGATAATAAATTTAAGTCTTAAAGTGTAGAATATTATGAATGTCTACCGCCCTCACATTGCAATTAGTGAATACTGTTAAGCTCCTGGATTTTTACAAATGTAGTCAATGTGTTTAGTATTCTCCCTACAAGTTTACATTGATAAAAAAGAAGACGAATTTAGTTTAGACCTCGGATGCCTTACCTATAAAATTCACTTGTTCGGTATACTTTGTCCTAACAATCACTGTGTACGTTGATGTTTGAGTTGTCTTGCAATATTTACATAGAACTGCAGTTTGGAACTACCTCAGAATTAATTTAGGTTTTAATGTTTTACAAAAACACAGGTGTAGTAAAAAGAATTCAAATAACTCTCTTTATTGCTTGAGTTTGAACACCCTCTCTCGAAATGATCTCACATGGCCACGTGCATACAACCACTGCCAGGGAAGTCCTACTCACCACCTTCTCGCGGCAGGAATGTTGTTTACGAAATCGAGAACGAAAAGCAAATGTCTGGCGCTTTAACCGGGTCGGTGGATGTGGAGGATCTAACTAGGGGAGTTGGAGAACCCTGATTCCAAACCAGTGGTGCACATGGGCTCCAGTATCTTGAAGGGAGAAATGGCGTATGTACCAACCGTTGGTCACTGGCTATCATGAGACTGTATCTCTTAACGTTGCTCGATTGCCTTGTGGATTAGACCTCTTGGTCAAAGGCTCTGGGTGTGGCTCCCTAAGCAAACCACCTGCTTCGGTTTGGGCACCCGTGCAGTATTACAACTATCACGCAAATCGAATGATTTGTATGGCGACTATGTATTCAATGCTTCCTTGTACCAATGTGTTTAAATAAATAAAAAACAGAGGTTTCAGTCCCAGAACCCAGTATACAGACCATTTCGAGATAGACGAAAATAGCAAAGATGTATTGAAGTTTAGCGCACTTTAATTTTAAAGAAAATTTCTTTACCTCTCGCTTAATACTTCCGTGTTGCGTTTCCTTTTTTATGATTTGTAACAGTCTGTGAATGTTTGCTAAAAACTACTAGCCGTGAAGGCTTCATGAGTAAAGAATCAAGTTTTTGACTGAAAAGTCTACAGAAGACAAAAATCAACAAATACTATGTTGAACTAGGTAACAACACCATAAAATCTAAAGCTGTCGCTGGCAAGCTGAGGTGAAAACAGATGGCTTATAACAGTGCTAAGCTTCAAAGACCTTAAGTAACCAATCGATGATTTCTAGGATAATTTTCAAAAAAACTCATCGAGTTCACGAGGAAACTATGAATATGAAGGGCTGTATAGCCGTCATATTATTTTTATAGTCGTAAGACCTCCACAACTAGATCAGTTACATTAGGATTCTAGTCTTAATTGCACTATGTAGCATGCTCAATTCTGAGTAAACAATTGCTTTTAAATGATTGTAAATCTGAGGTGAAGTTATTAAGCATCTTTTAAAAGACATGAACCTCGGGCTTCAGTTACTGCAGCAAACTTACAACGCATATAAGAACTTTAAGCTCTGGCCAATGCGATGCAGGAAACAGCTGTTGGACAGAAGAGTGATAAGTGTGGTCTTCATGGTTGCTAGACCACTGCACAAACCCTCCTAGTAAACTCCGGCATGATGATCCAGAGCCACGCCGAGAAAGGGAAGTGTAGTCGCCATCCAGACCATACATCTTTCCTAATGCAAATGCTAAACGTATGAAAATATTGTATACACATACCGAACGCTGCAGTCCCAGATGCACTAGATGCCATCCCTGCAGATGTCGGAAAATTATTTTCGGATTCCACACACAAAAAGGGAGAAGGGACCAACCTCCCGTTAAGTCTAGAACGCAACTGCGCTAATTTAAGGAATAAAATTGTGTGTAAAGACATACCAACTATTATTACATCTAAAAGCCTGCCTGGAAATTGCATGATCCTAAGAAATACTCACGAGCAATCCGATGACCCACTTTCCGTTAAGTTTGAACAGTGACTCCTTGAGGTCATTCTTTGTAAACACTGTAGATTTGGTTCCGACCTGTATGTTTCTTATAAGATTTAACAATTTAACAAACATGAGACTGGTTTAAAGTAAGACTTATGGAAGAGGTGGACGGATAAATGTTCAAATCATCACTTTTACCCCCTGTGAGAAATGTTGGTTTTCATAAAATGCTACTCACAATACTTGAGCAAAGCTATGTTTACCGGACAAGTAACCTCGATTTGCATTGGCGCCAGGTCACGTTAAAGCTGACAGTGCCGCTTCACCACTTTTGCAAAATCCAATATATGTGTAACAAACAAATAAAACCGAATTTTTCCTTTGAGGTCATTACGTGATGTTTCTGTGAGATTTCATGTCCTCGTTTTTCACAATTTAGGTGACTTTGCTACTCATCCGCAATAATTCTATTGTATTAAGTATATTGGTGATATTCGAGAGCTGAAAAGAGATTGGTGAATTCCACTGTGTTGTTAAGTGACTGAAGTCTAAAAATTTACTATAAGGTAAAATCGAATGGTACAGATCACCTGTGTACTCTCTTAGCACAATGGAGTGAGTGATATGAAAATTCAGCGAATTCAATAATCCGAAATATAGAAACGTTCATAACAAAAATTTCGAATAGTTCAAGTGATTCTGAACGGAGTAAAAGAAGCTTGGACTTGACGGGCGTCTTTATCTAGTGACAGTGGATCGCTGAACCCTCCAGGCAGAAACGTGGGTACATTTAACGATAAAAGAGAAAGAATATTAGTAAATTATAGCGAGACGTTCTACTTAGTCCCTAAGAATATGACACGTTTTCTCTAAAAACACTTCAGAAGACGCTAGTAATAGCTCAGCCGGCAGTGAATTCCAGCATTTGACTACTTTTCAAGAGTAGAAGTTGTGCCTACGGTCAGTTCCGCTGTGTCTTGTCTCTAGTTTCTGAGTGTTACCCCTTAGGTTTAGGTTGAGACTTGAATTAAGTAAGTGTCTAAGTGAATGCACTGAATTTTAATTCATTAGAAGTTCGCCTCTAAGACGGACATACTCTGATGGGTAAAGGTCCAGTGACTAAAGGCGCGCTTTATTCACGTCCCCGAACTGGTTTCGTGGCTCGTCTCTAGATACGTTCTAATGAATTCTCTTCATTTTGCAGCGAGGGAAGAAAAACTATGTTTCCATACTCTGAATGGGGTCGATTAAAACTGTTGAAAATGAGGTAGAAGTTCTGACGAAATGGGCAACGCTTTCACGTTATCAGTGCGAAGTTTTCTCGGAAGGCATTTTTAACGCTATTGGTGTAATACCTCAGGTCGTATGGTACCAGCACTCCAAGGTATTTTTCAAATCGGGATACCTCTAGAGGCGAGTTACCTAAGTTAAAGTTATAGTCTGCAACATGTCTCACATGGACTACCTTCTACTTGAAGTCCTCCTGAAGAGCCAGTTAATTCTCTTGGGTACATACCTCTCTCCGGTGTTTCACATCATCAGAGAAAAGCAAAACATCTGATGGGGCCAGCCGCGAAAGATCATTCATAAAAATCAAGAAGAGAGGAGAGCCTTGTATTGAACCCTGAGGGACCCCACTGGGACATTCCATAGTCCGATAGAAAGAGAAGCTAACCCTGGCCTTTAAATGTCGATTTTTTTAGATATGAAGTGAGCCAATCAGTTAAAGGCGATTTGATACCTAATCGTTTGTGCTTATTGATAAGACATATATGGTTGACCCTATTAAAAGCTTTTGAGAAGTCAAGGTATGTGACACCAACCTTCTCCTTGTGATCAAGGATGGTTGTACATTTGTCCAGCGCAGTCAGCAGTCTGGTTATACAGGAATAACCGTTTCTGTAACAGTGCTGTTGAGGTGAAAAGAAGTTGGGTGGTAAGTAGTCACGTAGACAATCTCATATCAAGGACTTCATAACTTTTGACAGTATGGAAGAAAGTGCTATCGGTCGGTAGCTTGAAGGTTTGCTGCGTGGACCTCTTCTGAAAGTTGTTGTGATGTAAGCCAGCCTCTAGTTTCCCGATAAAGTGCCTCAGCTTAGCGAATGTGAGATCATCAAGCTATGTGGTGTCGCCAAGATTAAAGCTGTTTCCCTCAGTATAGTAGGACGAACAGTATCCGGGCCAGGGAAGTGTTTTAATTTAGATGCTGCGGTTTCTGATACACCAAGTCAGAACACATGTTAACTTCTGGGGGTCCTGTTGAGTTGTAGGTGAAGCTTTCGTTGAGATAGCTGATATGGCACGTTTGAATTGTCTGAAAATACTGTTCTGCCGGAAGGTCAGCGACGTCATCATCGTTGTTGGCTAGGCCATTAGGACCTAGCAGTTGGAAAACTCCGCTTTTGGCCTGTCGAGGAGAGGCTGCATGACGAAATAAGCTTCTAGGATTGGGGACAAACTTATCGATTAGCTTTGTCTGTTACTGAAGTTCATTTTCTCCTGCTGCCTCTCGTGCAGTTGTTCTTTGCTTGTTTGAATTGCCTGTATGCACCGTTGTTACCAGCTCGTCTATATTTCACCCAGTAGTACTCTTTGTGGCTCAGAAAACGAAGATTCCGACTCTTGATGACTGTGGGTTGCCTGTAAATTTTGTGGACCGTTAGCGGAACAGACTTCTTTGTAGCTGTTATAACTTGTAGCCTTGTGTCCTATTAATATATAAATTGATGATACCGCCAATTGGAGAACAGTGATTTATCGACCGAATCAATGACACACAAGCCTGTACGAGCAGTCTAGAGCTTTTATTAATCCTTCTTCCCGCCTAGCCTTGCCTGTTAAGTCCAGAACACTAATCTCAGCCTCTGCGATACGAATCACGTATTTCAATTATACTGGGTTTATATACAAACCAAACAGGCCACATCGTACTATAAAATAGAAAATAACATTTGTACAAGATTTAGCCAAAAGTGGCTGTGAATGTAGGAGATAGTAATTGAAAGACTGGCATAACTCAAGAATGGTAAATCGTATAATAATTGTTTATGTACCGAAATAAAGCTTATGATAAAAGAAACACGAATAGGAATAGTTTAGTTACTTAGCAATTATATGATAAAAACATATGTACAGTATTATTCCAGAAATACATTCCAACAGTTACCATTCAATATTCTCGTCGGAATATAACACCTCTTTTAATGAAGATTCGGAGTTGATATCCGGACTTTAAGTTTACCGAATTTACCCTCCCCACGAAGTAGTGTTTGATCTTCTTATCCCCAAGTCACAATTAATGCGACTATTTAAAACATATTTCTAGCACCTAATAGAGGATCCACTAGAAGTGACTAGATGGTGAGGATCAACGACACTTGATATGAGGTCATCAGCGTTTGATTCTTCTGAAACATTCTCATCAGATTTATTGAAAATCTCGTCAGTAGATAATAAATCACTAGGATAATCAGCATCCAACAAAATTGCATCAGGTTCTTCATTGTCATTTGATGCATTTGACACATTTTTCTAAATTTTGTAAGGAATTTCATCGAAAATCTGTGAGTCATTAAGATAACCGACATCTGGTAAAGCAACTAGAGAATCACGATAGTTAGATTCACCAGAAGCTTTTGTCGCAAATTACTGAGCTCCACTTGGTGCAACCGTATTCATTAGACTGCTCGATTACTCATGAGCGAGTACTGCGACCATTTCATGTGCATTTAACAAGACATAGTCTGTCTGTGAGCTGGACAAGTCACTGCTTGTACATTGAGTTTCGTAGATAATTGGAATTCAATCCACTACAGGGCATGTTTTTGAAATGGACATTACTGGACTACTAGGCGGATCATGAGTGACTGCTACTGTTTCGTTTACATTACTGTTTGTCAAGGATTCATGGAGGCTTTCACCGACACATTCGCTGTTGTTACTGATCCGTCTATATTTCACCCAATAGTGCTCTTTGTGGATCAGAAAACGAAGATTGCGGCTCTTGATGAATTTAGGTTTCTTGTAGAGTTTGTGGACCGTAAGCGAAACAGACTGCTTTGTAGTACATGAAATTATGTGCAGTAAGAAATCCCAATGGGCGTCCACATCAAGTTGAGAGTTGTATATTGCCCTGTATAGCCAATACATTCAATCGTTTGAAATTCCAGCACCGGTTTTCGGTAGGATGTCCTAGCTCAGTTTTGCTGATAAAACTGCGTGATCGCCTCTCTTTAGGGGAGCCAGGATTGAGAAGTTGTCAGTTAGAAATTCTTCGTTTGTAAATGCGCAATCTAAGCGTGACAGCGTCTGACCATTTGTCCAACGAGTTTCTTACCTGATATTTTTGAATAATCCCAGATGTTCTACGAGGTTGAAGAATCGAGTTTCAGCAGAGCTGTCACCTCCAATGTACATATGTTCCGCGGAATTGACTTTAAGAAGATTGAAGTCTCCTCGAATCGGGATATGAGTGAATCAGAGACTAGTAGAGCGAGATAATCCTTTCAGTATACGATTGTCAAACACAGTGTCGGCAGTGAACTTCCTGCATATAATCCCAAAGGGACACCTCGAAGTGTTAGAAAATCTTAGTGAGCACCATACAGACTCATCATCATTGATAAACTTATGGTTGTGCACTTGACGCACTTCCAAGCAAGATCACAGGTAAAATGCTAATCCGCCCCTCATTCCTGTTCTTCTGTCTTTGCGAGACAGAGACATGTCGGGTTTTACTAGCTCTTGGTCCGTAATTTGAGAAGATAGACATGTTTCAGATATTCGTTTCAGATGAGTATTAGTAGTATTACTGAGTTCACGCAACTCGTCTATTTTATTTGATAAACTCGCAGAGTTCATATATAGGCAGTTTATGCTTTCAATTTGAAAGGACCACCTTATGACTTTCCACTTCAGCATATCACAGTCTGAATAGTCAGGATCCGTGTTTTCTGGGACACCTTGTACAATGACATTTCTTCCTCGGAAGAGCGTCTCGTGAGATTCTCCAGGGATGTTCCTGATAAGATTTCACCCAGGGTACGGTATACCAGACAGTATTAGTACATTCCCATCTGGCTTCTGTATATCACTGGCCAGTAGGTTATCCTTTACGTTGGCAGCGTTAGTAGGAGTTACACGAATTATGTTTTGGTGACTTTTATGCTTGGATTCCTTTCAATAAGTAAGCCATATGACCGTCAGAGGCTCTATTTTGAGAAGTTCGACCTTCCTGTTTAGCTCTTACCAAATCGTCCTGTCATTTTTATCCTACAGACTGAAG